AAGGGAGGGTAGGGAAAGGGGGAAAAATAAGAACCAAGAGAGATTATGTAAAGGTGCAAATTTCCAATGATGAATATCATTATATTGTATACCTAAAATGTACCAATAAAATAAAATTTAAAAAAAAATAATAATATATTAGGCTTTACTGAGTAATTTTATAAAGTGATTGGTGTATAAAAAAAGAAAAAAGATGTTGGAATAAAATTTAGTGAATTTAAAGACAAATAAACAGAAATTAGCCAATTTGAATAGCAGAGAGATGAAACAAGTTATAAAAAAGAGAGAAAACCAGCCTCAGACACTTGTGGGGCAACAGCAAAACTTCTGACACTCTTATCTTGAATGAGTGCCATACTCAAAACTTTGTAATGAAATAATGCCTGAAAACTTTCCAAATTTGGCAAAATGCCTGAATGTACAGATTTAGGAAGCTTACCAAACTCCAATGAGATAATCCCCTAAATCAACATCCAGACACCTTGAAATCTAGCTGGTGAAAATTAAATCCTGAAATGGATAGGGTCAAACAGTCTACAGTATTTAACTTGTAGGGGCCAATGGACTGAATGACAGAAGATTTCTCACCAGAAAGCGTGGCACCCAGAGGGAAGTGGCAGGGCATTGTCAAAGAGCTGAAGGGAAACACTGGTCCAACCAGAACCCTACATCCAGAGTAAAGAGACTTGATGAATGAAGACAACGCCAAGGTGTTCTCAGATGAAGGAAAGCCAGTAGTGCTGCTAACAGATCTGCGCTTCAGAAATGCTAAGGAAAGTTCTTTATACAGAAATCAGGAGGAATGAGGAGGGAAAGAGAGCAACAGAAATGGCATGTCTGAGTAAATGTGAGGGCCCTTCTCTTGAGCTTTTTAAAATACATTTGATTTTGGAAAGTAACAATTACAGCTTTGCTGGGGTTTCAGTATGTATGGATAGAATGTATATGGCCAGTAAAGCATAAAGAAGGGAAAGGACCTATACAATTTTCTGAATTCTGGACACAGCACTTGCTCAAGCATGGCTCACAAGACACTATTAATGAGCACCATCTACTGAGAGCACCCTGTGTGTTCCCAACCCCCATGCTGGGTCCTAGGGGCTTTGACGGACGAACAGGCATGGTCTATTGAGGCTCTGGAGTTACCTTAGACTGGACACCTGGCCCTACTCAGGAACACAGAACACAAGCTTCTGACCCTCACCTCCCAGAGCTTGAAGGAAAACAGCTTGGTTTCCCCCAAAAGGAAACTAAGAGCACCCTGAAGGCCTTGGATAATGCAAAGGGCCTAGGGCCTCCTCATGTCCTTTCCTTTAGATCTTTTTGTTTTGTTTTTGCAAATGACATTTTATTTTTGCAGATTATTGGTTAGAGAGCCTCCCCATGTCCCATCTTACGCCTTGATGGATTGATAAGCCGAATATAGATAGATAGATAGATAGATAGATAGATAAGAGAGAAGGGGGTGTTGATTTACTGCGCTCTTAGGCCACTGTTGCTGGAGAGCTGGGTCAGATCTGCAGGAACTCAGGGATAGCGTTATACTCACAGCCAGAACCTCCACCTCTCTCCCCTCAGGAATTTTCTCCTCGCTGAGCTAGCAGTAGCAATAAATGATCTGATTTGTGATCTGTCCCTTGTCTCTGGGGAGTATAAATGCAGCTATAGTATATGATACAAAGGGCCGGGCTGTTTCCAGCCTCCCAAGCAAGCAGCTACCCACGGCTGTAATTTCACTTTATCTCTCTCCCATTAAAAGGCAATTGAAAGTGAACTAAGCAGAATGAGGGCTGCTGCCACTTCTAGAACCCTTGAATGGGGCCTGCAGAGGACAGCTGGTGGACCGAAGGCTCCCGGGGCTAAGGAATGGAAGAGAGGAGACTATTTGCAGAACAGCAAATTCTTAATAGAAGTAACAACATCATAATGATAGCAACAATAACCACTGCTGTTTATAGAGCATCTGTGGACCCCAGGCTCTGTGCTGAGGGCCACCGAGCTTTCTGGCTCCCATGAGACCAGTGTTCAGTAAAAGAATCTTAGTGAGGTCCAAGGAAGTCTCAGCCTATCAGCCAGGGAGCTGGAAGACCCATTTGGCTCTGCCAGACTCTGGTGTCAATGCCAAGAAGGACTCTGTGCCCTGTCCCCAGATCCTGGAGGACTCAGCTGAGCCCTGCCTTTGGGTTACCATTGCAAAGCCACCTAAGAAGGTCCAGCTGAAATCACATCTCATCTGCAAGCGCTTGGAAGCCAGTCAGCAACAGAACAAAAGAATCAGACCCTACCCTCAATTCCACACCCTTTCCACTACCTCATGGTGGCCAGCACTCCAGGGTGCTTGCATTCAGGTTCTGCTAAAGCAGCACCAAGAAATCCACCCCCAAAGTGACCCCTCAAGAGATGGTGACCACACTGTAGAATTCCAGAGGCCAGGAGGACCAAGCTGAAGCACACAGAGACTGGGGAGAGGGCACCAGGGCTTGAGGCTGGGCGCAGGGCACTGCTGTCCTCCCTTGAGCCTCAGCAGCCGTTAGCAGGACTGTCAGTAGACACAGCCTCCGATGAGCTCATGCTGAGAGCAGAAGCAGGAGGAGAATTCTCTAGTCAGTAAATATTCCCCGATAGTCGGGTGATTGAGGGCTGCAGTTCTGGTGTCAGAGTTTACACACAAAGCTCCCAATTTATCATATGAGAGTTGAGGACAAGCATAGTACCCGTTCACCTTGCTGGATATTGTGAGGCATAAATAAAAATGTACGTGAAATGCTTCATTCAGTAAATGGAAACTAATAACTTCACAGGAAATAATGCACAGGACATTCCTGATAATAGTAGTGACCCAAGCCCTTTGTAAGGCAGAGAGAACTCTCTCTTCCTTGAAGCTTCACCTTGGACCCAATTGTGTCGCTGGTCAAGTCTAGTGCTCCGCTTTTTACTTATCTGTACCTTTTCCTCTCTCCTCAAATCCCAGACGGATTCAGCCTGGTCATCGTGTCCCTAAGGAAGACAGCCCTAAATTAGTTCCTGTTAAGATATGTGTCGCTCCATCCAGCTACTTCCTGAGCAGTTTCACGGGGGGGAGGCTGGGAAGAGCTAAGGGGTGGGCAGCAGCACCATCACATCTGCACTGGGGGCACTGGGGGCGCCTTCTATACGTCCTTGCACACAGGGTGGGAGGCTGCAGAGAGGAGGTCACCCCACGCTACCGTAAGCGAGTGAGGCCCACGGGTGGAAGCAGCTTGGCCTGCTCGAGGTCAGTTCCCTCATTAAGGACGATGTGGACACAGACACTGGGTGGACTTTACCTGTGCCGTTTCACACATTTCCCCACCCCGCCCTTCACCTAGACGACTCCTGCTCTCAGGGAGGGGGAGAGCTGTTCAGGCTCTGACACAATGCACAACCCAAAATGGCTTTTGAGAGGAAGTGATTTTACAGCTGGTCTTACATTTGAGAGGAAGTGACTGGCTTGCGTTTCTGCGAAGCTTACGGGGAGATCAGTCTTGAGGCCCGGCCTGGCTTAGATGATGTTGACGGGATTCTCTGTGGCAGCAGCTCCTCCTCCCCAGCGTCATGACACTGAGGTAAAAAAGGCAGCTTCCCTTTAATTCCAGCAAAGAGTCAGAATCCACTCTCATTGCTCCTGATTGGTTCCACTGAGTCACGTGGCCTACCCTGGTCCATCCTGGGGGACGCTCTGATTGGCGGGCCTGGGTTACACTCACCACTCGGGTTGTCGGCCCACCAGATTCCAATCAGGAAGAGGCGCAGCCCTGATCCCCCTTACCTCCCGGCTTGTGTGCAGAATGGGAGCAGGTGGCGCTGCGCGAACACAGAACCCAAGGCTGTGTTCCGGGAGAGGGAAGCATGGCTGGAGCGTGCTGGCTGGAGTTGGAACCAGAGGAAGCCTGCTCTCCAGTGGTGCTGGAGTCAACCAAGAAACTAGTGCCAGAGACCAGCCCTCAAGGCCCAGTGAAGGCCCAGTGAAGAGCCGCCTTCACTTCCCAGCCTCCTTTCTACCTCCTTCTGCCACCAGTGCGTCCCAGTGGCTGAGGTCAGCCGCAAGGGAGGCTGGGAAGTATAGTTCCTGTGACACAGGTTCCCATAGAGGAGGAGGAGTGGGTCTGAGGGCCAGCCTGACAGTGGTGCATGGGTGGGCCCCCGAAGCAAGCTGGGTGCTTATCCTGGGTGAACAGTCAAGACAACGGCTCTTCCACGTTGGAGACCAAGTGTGTGCCAGGAGGTACTTTAGCATTTCCAAAGCTCATGCCCAAAATGCTGTTAAAGAGCAGAGCTGTTGTCCTCAACAAGTAGTGCAATTGGAAACATTTCTGTAAAACACAGAGGTTTCTAGAGAAATGTCTTTCTAAAGTGGCTCTGAAGAAGGCAGAGGCCCAAGCCGCTCCCTAAAGCACACAGCCAGCCTTGCCTCCCCTGGCCGTGACTTTGAGCTTGTCCCCATTAGGGTTCCACACCTCCCCTTCTCATCTCCTTCCCAGAGCAATTGAAAGAATGACAGCAAAGAGATTTCCAATTCAGCAATATATCTTGTTGATGAAATGGTGCAATGTTCTATAAATAACACTTTGCTGCCAGTGCTGGATGCCTGTGGCATGAAGAACCACACCTGCTGGGCATCTCATCGTCCCCCACCGAGCCACGGTCATGGTCCAGGACCCTCCGAGCCCCACAGCAAGGCAGACTGGCAAGAAAGGGAGAGGACTTGCTGGTCATACCAGGGCTGCTGTGATATTTTCCGCCATCAGGAAGTGAAGTGACAAGCCATGAGTGGTGGAGCATGCCTGCAATCCTAGCATTCTGGGAGGCTGAAGCAGGAGAATTGAAATTTTAAGCCCAGCCTGGGCAACTTAGCAAAACCCTGTTTCAAAAAATTTTTTATTTTAAAAAGAGGCCTGTATACCAATAATGAATCCACCATGAATGAAATTAGGAAAACAATAGCATCAAGAAAAATTAAATATTCAGGAATTAACCTAACCAAAGAAGTGCAAGACCCCTACAGTGAAAATTACAGCACTCTGGAAAAGGAGATCAAAGAGGACGTCAGAAAATGGGAACACAGAATAGATGGAATCAATTGTCAAAATGACCCCACTCCCAAAACTTGTGTACAGATTTAATCCAATCCCAACCAAAACACCAAAAGGTTTCCTCACAGAGCTACATAAAACAATACTAAAAATCCTATGGAGCCAGAAGAGACCCAAAATAGCTAAAGCAATCCTAGGCAACAAGAGCAAATTAGGATGTATCACAATTTCAGATTTCAAGTTATATTACAAAACTAGAGTGATAAAAACAGCATGATACTGGCACAAAACCAGACATGCAGGTCAATAGAAAAGACGAGAGGATGCAGAAATAATCCCAGGTGCATTCTAGCCACTTGATCTTTGACAAAGGGGCCAAAAACTTACACTGGAGGAAAGATCACCTCTTTAGCAGATGGTGCTGGGAAAACTGCTATCCACATGCAGAAGATTAAAGCTAGACCCATATCCCTCACCATGTACTAAACTAAAATCAAAATGGAGCAAAGATCTAAATATTAAAACAGAAACACTTAAACTGCTGGAATATAAAACAGGTAAAACTCTTGAAGTCAGGTGGGTGGGCAAGAACTTTCTGAATAGAAAACCCCAATTCCACAAAAAAGAACATGGAGAATCAACAAATGGGATCATATCAAATTAAAAAGCTTCTGCAGAGCAAAAGAAAAAAATCATCAAAGTGAAGAGACAATGTACAAAATGAGAAAAATACTTTGCCAGCTATTCCTCAGACAGGATTAATATCTAGAATACATGAAAAACTCAAATAGTAGATCCAACAAAATAAAACACCCAATCAAAATGTTGGGCAAATGAAATGAATAGACACTTCTTAGAAGTGCAAACATCTAGTAAGCACTTAAAAATACATTTAACATTGCTGGCCATTAAAGAAATGCAAAGAGAAAGAATGGCTAGCAAGAAATCAAATAATAATAAATGCTGGTGAGGCTGTATAGGGAAAAGAAATTGTCCTGTGGTGTTGGTGGAAATGTAAACGAGTATAACCATTGTGGAAATTCCTCAAAAAACTAAAAATAGAAATTCCATTAGACCTAGCTGTTCCCCTACTAGGTACCTTTCCAAAAAAGAGTTAAAAATATCATATTACAATGATACATACACACTCATGTATATAGTGGCACCATTTATAATAGCAAAATCTTGGAAGCACCCCATAGGCCCATCAACAGAAGAATGGATAAAGAAAATGCGGTGTTTACACACTGTGGAATACTGCTGTGCTATAAAGAAGGATACATCTGAGGCATTTGAGACCATAATGCTAAGTGAAATAAATCAGACATGCACGTTTAAATATTCTGTGGTTTCTCTTATATGAGAAACCCAAAGTGTCACTAAATTAAAAGAGCAAAGTAAAAGAGATAATAGGAAACAGAGAGATAGAGCTTTTGCAAAAGAGAAAAGAACCAAGAGATGGGCAGAAGTGGGAAAGGAAGGGAAAGAGGACATAAAAAAGAATTAAGACCTGTCATGTCCACGAACCACCCACTCATGATGAGTGCATTCATCATGCATCACAAGCAGGTACTAATAAAACATACATAAATTAAAGCAAAACTATGGAAAGAGAGGCTGCAGATATACAGATGTAACTCAGTGTGAAGGCTCCAGTGAGAGAGAGAGAGAGAGAGAGAGAGAGAGAGAGAGAGAGAGAGAGAG